CTATCTATCTATCTATCTATCTATCTACTTTCCCTACACTTGGATATCTCTGTATATATACAGTCATATATCTATAGAGGAAACTCAGCTGCCAGCCTACAGGACACTGATCTGTGCTTTGGATGGAGATGAAGCTAAATCAGCCCTGGACAACTGAATGAATACAAGCCATATTTTTCCAACTGGGTGGATAAAGTTTACTTTGGTAGCTGCTTCTGTTCCAGTTCCAGGGATGTCCAGTAACAGTGGCAGGCTGCAGCACCCCCCCCCCCCCCCCCCCCCCCCCCGTCACTCCAATTGCAGCCAAGTAGCCTGACTTGTTCACTGGGAGGACAAGCGGGAGTGTTTTAGATTTGGGCCATGATCCCCAAAACCACAATCTCCAAAGATCAAAATAAACATCCTTAAGGTCTAAAATCTCCTAGATCATAAAACAGTCCTGGAAAAGATGCTTGAAATTCTTGGGGCTTGAGGTATATACAGCTCAGTGGTAGATAGTTGGCTTCAATCCTCAGCACTGCAAAAATAAAATACAACAAAGCAATCATTGGATTCAACCTAGCAAAATGCCTTCTAAAGGAATAGATCAAAAGCAGATAAATATCAAGCACTGCAGTTGGTGACTGTGTGTACCTCTTCTGGCTGTATGGAATACTCTTCCAGACAACCTAACAGATTGACAAGATTGATCAACAACCACAGTAAGTCAGTGTAGCCTGTCCAGTCACCCAAAGAGTCATGATCTGAAGAAACTTTCATTCTTTATAGATGTAAATGCAAGCATTCCCCTCCATCTACCAGGGAAGCTGAAAATGATGCATTCTAATTAAAAATGCTTTTCAAGAGCATGTGGTGTGCATGCATGTGTGTGGGTGTTTGTGTGTGTTTGGTATGCATGTGCACGTGTGTGCATTCATTTGTGCACATGCATGTGGGGGCCTGAGGTTCCTGTTGCAAGGCTTCGATCATTGCCTGCTTTATTCAGAGTCTCTCAGTTGAACCCAGAGCTTGCCAGGATGGGTAGACTTTCTCCAAGGACTGGAATTATAGACAGGCCACCATGCACACCCAGCATCTACACGGGTGCTAGGAACTTGAACTCAGAGCATAGACAGACCTTCATGGTGCTGAAGTCCCTCCAACTGTTAACTGAGGGAGTTGTTTTCTGCTCTCATCCGGGATTGATGTGGGTGCTCATTTGCCCAGCATATTCCTGATTTACAAAACCCCTGCAAGCCATCAACAGTTCAACCCGTGATAACAGTAACCCAGTAGTCAGTGTTCTTGAGTAATTGGGCAAACACCTTTCTTGCTTAAAAATAGGCATTTGAGGGACTGGAGAGATGGCTCAGCAGTTAAGTGCAGTAGCTGCTCTTCCAGAGGACCCAGGTTTGATTCCCAGCACCTGCATGGTAGCTTACAACCACCTGTAACACCAGTTCCAGGGATCCAGTTCTTTGGCTTCCATGGGCTGCAGGTAGGTGATGTATAAACATACAGCCCCATACACAAAAATAATAAAAAGTTCAAGAAAATCTATTTTTAAAATAGAAGTAGTTGGACATCTAAGGATAGAAGATTCTGCTTAGTTAGCTTTTTTCTTTCCCTTTTTATTTATTTGTTTCATGTTTCATTTACTAAAGTTTTGTAAGAATCAGTTCCTGGGGCCAATGGTCCCAGCCTGGTTCTGCCATCAGGAGTCCAAGAATAGATGAAACCCTATTTGAGCAAGGAACTTGCGCAGGACCAGGTAGAAGCTGGGAGAATGGGGGCTCCCAGCGCCCCCCCCCCCCCCCCCCCCGTGTCCTCACTGCAGATCATGCCTTGGAGGCTATGGTTTCTTTCTCCTGGCCGCTGCAGGCTGGCCTCAATGAAAAATATGGCCATGGGCATGCTAGCGTTGCCGCCAAGGTAGGGGACAATTCTACCCTCATAAAGAGGCAGAACAGAGAAAGGAAGACAAGGGCTTGTTGGAACTTGGCTGTTGAAGATGCAGAGAACTGTTCCAACTGCCAGTGTCTGTAGGAAGGACAGTGAACAACCTCTCCCTACCCTAGGTGACTCTGCTGAAGTGAGAGTTGGGGGCAAGAGAATAGGCCTGTCTGGAAGTGGTGAGGCTTCCATGGGAGACCCAGAGCACCCAAGAGCCAGTTCCTGGATCGTTCCCATTCCTCTTCTGAAAGTAAGATGGAACAGTCTCCCAGAGGATCCCCCTACCCCAAAGGGCTTTGGATGTCCAGTGTGTCCTCTCAAGCTCCTTTTTTTTTTTTTTTTTTTCTTTTTTTGAGACAGGGTTTCTCTGTGTAGCTTGGCTGTCCTGGACTTGCTTTATAGACCAGGCTGGCCTTGAACGTACAGAGATCCTCCTGCCTCTGCCTCCCTGAGAGCTGAGATTACAGCTTCTCAAGCTCTTTTTGATGGTCTGCTTGGGCATTTGCCCTGAACGGAGCAGATAGGCAGTAGGACCTGCCCTACTCTCTAGCCTGTTGCCTGTGTGCTTGGTAATGCCATGAAGAATCCTTATTGGTCTGACCCTTTTGGGTGTGGCATGGAATGAGGCTAGCCCACAAGACCTGGTAGGTCTGTCTCCTCAAGCTGAACCACAAAAACCTGTCAGTGGCCATCAGGCAGAGACCAGAGGTACAACTCCATGCTTTCCCACCGCCTCTTATAGCAGCCTGAGAGGTTTCTGCTCAGGTAAGGTAGTAAAGTGTGATAGTGTGATTCTTGTTATTTATTTTTTTAGATGGAGGTCCTATTGTGTGGCCCTGGCTGGCCTGAAACGAAAAAGATTTATTTTATTTTGAATTATTTATGTTTTTATGACTATGTGCACCTAAATACAGGTGTCCACAGATACCAGATGTGTGGGATCTGTGAGCTGGGGTTACAGGTGATTGTGAGCTGCCTAATGTGGGTTCTGGGAATTGAACTGCAGTCCTCTGGAAGAACATTCCATGCTCTTAACTGCTGAACCTGCTCTATGAAGGCAATCTTAACAGTGAATATTAATTATACTAGAGTTTGCAGCTCTGAGTTTGTGAGACACATCAATCCTTTCCATTCCCACAACTCCTTAATTTTCTTTCTATCCTCCCTCATACTTGCATCTTTTCTCAGCACCTGCCTGTCTCCTGAGCAGGGCCTCTGAGTGTGGGTTCTCAGGAGCTGCTAGAGCGTCTGTGGACCTGTGGCACATGGAGAGGACTTGTGGGCAAGGATCTGGTTTATGTTGCCGCTGCTGCAGATTTAACACTAAGCAAGAGAAGCTGCAGCTCCATGGCGGAGCACATGCAGGTCAGCCCCCCGCACATGGGTTCCTTGAACTTTCTTCTCCCAGGCTCATCTTGGCAGCTAACAGAGATGAATTCTACCACAGACCGTCCAAGTTGGCAGACTTCTGGGGAAACAACAATGAGATCCTCAGTGGTAAGTGTTTCTTCACACCTGGTGAGCAGCAGCTCTTCACTGTGTTCCACTAGTTTGGTGAGGCGGTATCCTCTAAACAGGCCCTGCCTCCACACACAAGTGCTCAATTCATAGGTAGGCATGAGTGGCTTTGAGGATCATCCAGCCCCAGAATTAAGTACCTCTCAGAACTGGCTACTCAATATGCCCATGTTTCCTTATGTGCTATGGAGTCCTGGAGGAATGGTCAGCCAGTGAGAAGGGACCACATTGCTTGGTTTGGGGCATCCTCCTTGTGTGTCTCTCTACGTATGTTTTTGTATCTGTGTTCATGTTTCCACCTAAGCCACTGTTTCTCCCTTGACTCCCAGCAAAGACTCATATTGGGTGCATTTTATGTTCCTAAAAATATTGCCATCATCATTAAATCTTTTCTAGATACAGACTAGTTGTTAAGAGAGTTTGATATTTGCTTTAAGACCTGTTAGGCAGGTGAGGAGCCAGCCCCATTAGAACTTAGTATTTTTGACTCCTGAGGCATGGGTGGCCTTCCTGGTGGGTAGTTACTCAGAGCCCCAGAGTTAATAGGTTTTCCAGTATAGCTTCTGAGCGCAGGCAGCCCTCCCTGTCCTGAGTCAGTGCTGTCCACTGTAGTCCTTCTGTGTGGTTCTTTTGCTCCTGTCACAACTTACTCTCTGGAAACAGTTCTGGCCCCTTTGTTCTACTGTCCCATGAACTTTGGCCTTAGCCTGCCTGAACCTCCAGTTCTGTTCTCAGAGTCTGCTAGGTCCTGAGGACTGTAATCACGGGGCTCATGGTCTCATCTCATTTGTTTCTTGTCTCTCAAACTCTTTATCTTTTTGAAATTACATTCATTTATTTATCTGTTTATTAATGAGTGAGTGAGTATGTGTGCGTGTGTGTGCACATGCCACCTTCACACGCACACGTTGCCTTCCTGTATGGGGGTCAGGACAACTTCTTATCTTACCAGTTCCCTTATTGTTTTTGTTTGTCCATTTGTCCTTCCTTCCTTCCTTCCTTCCTTCCTTCCTTCCTTCCTTCCTTCCTTCCTTCCTCCCTCCCTCCCTCCCTCCCTCCCTCCCTCCTTCCTTCCTTCCTTCCTTCCTTCTTTCCTTTCTTCCTTTCATGAAAGGACCTCCCTATGTAGCTCTGGCTAACCTCAAAGTTGGAGAGCCACCTTCTTGTGCCACCACACCCAGCTTTGCTTTCACTTTATTTATTTATGTGTTGTGGGGCTCTCGTGTGCACGCCCAAATGTTGTGTGTGCGTGCGTGCGTGTGTGCGCGAGCGCGCGCGCTCTCACTTTGGCTAGACAGTGAGAGCTCATTCATTTTTCAATTGTTGATTTTTAGGGTTTCTTTATGCATTCTGGATATGCATCTTTTGTTGGATAAATGGGCTGTCCACTAATTTCCTTAGTATCTTATGGTGAGCAGAACACTACTTTTAACAAATATAGTTTTATGGTTTGTTCTTCTTTGTCTTTTTGAGGAAGCCTGTTCCTCCTCCAGGCAATAACGTTTTTCTATAAAAGCCTCTAGTTGACAGTCTGACTTTTGTCTCAAATTTTTATTGTGTGTATGTGTGAGTTCATGTATATGTGTGTGCATACGTGTGCATGGGCCCAAATAACAGCTTCAGGAACACTAGCCACCTCCTTTCAGACAAGTCTCATTGGCCTGAAGCTCACTCATTAGTTTAGACTGGCCCATCAGTGTCCATGATCGTCATTTCTCTGCCAGCACCCCCACACCCTAAATCTTACAGGGTTCTGGAACTCAAACAGGTCCTCATCCTTGCAAGGCAAGCATGTAGCTAACTCTCCCCAGCTCTAAAATCAGTTTTTGTGCCTGATGTGAGCTAAGGGCTGAGATCTCCCCCTCCAGTCATTGTAGTGCTGTTTATTGAAATCGGTTGAGGATACATAGGTGGCTCTGCTCTGGACTCTCGTGTCACACTGATCTGGCTGTGTCACACCGATTTGTGTAGGTCCTGTGCCAATACCTCAGTCTCTGTTACTGTCCTGTGAGCTGAGCACGCTCATCATACCTGATATTTTGAGCCCAAGAGTTCAAATTTTAAATTTCATTTTCTAAGCCAAGTGTGGTGGTGTAGCACTAAAACTGCAAAACTTTTGAGCCTGAGACAGGAATATCACCTTGAGGTCCAGGTCACAGCCTTCCAGACTTACAAAAACAAAGTAGGGATAAGGGTTTGGCTCAGTGGAGTGCTTGCCTAGCATGCACTGCATACACCAGCCATGGGTGGCGCACACCAGTAATGCCAGCACTTAGGTTGAAGCAGAGGAATCAGGTGTTCAAGGTCAGTGTTAAGTGCGTAGTAAATTTAAGAGCAGCCTGAGCTACGTTAGATCTTGACTCAAAGAGCAGCACTAAGTAAGTGTGTGTCTTCTAGTTCTCGAGCCCATTTGTTTGCTAGTTCTAGTGGGTTGTCGGGTTTATTTGGGCTTTCTATGTCTATGAATCTGCTCCCTACCTTTCAGTTTTATTTTCTTTGCTGTGTTTACATTTTATATTTCTTTTTTTTGTTGTTGTTGTTAATATTGATTCTGAGAAATGACATTTTAGGGTCAGGGAGATGCCTCAGCAGGTAAGCACCAAGGATCTGAGTTCAAATCCTAGCACCCACCATCATGGCCATGTGTGTACCTATAGCCCAGTGCTGTCGGGGCAGAGACAGGATCAGTGATGCATGCTGACCCGGCCTAGTTCTAGATTTAGAGAGAGATGCTGCTATAAGGGATGAGGTGGAAAGTGATAGAGCAAGACACTTGTTCTCTTCCTGTAGCTCTCACTTGTGCACAAGCACCTATACTAGCACACAATGTACAAATAGCACATTCATATTACACATACACACTCTATAAACAAGTACTTTCTTCTGTGATGTCTTAATAACTCCTCAGACTGAGTGCAGCGACCTAATAGTCTGACTGTGACCCCTCCTGTTGTCTAGGGTCTCTCTCTCACATAAACACCCCTGGGCCTGGAGAACCTAGTGTAGGACCTCGTGGCAGCAGCATTGACCCTATGAGAAGCTGTATGTCCTGGCATGCCCCATGAGGGCTGGGCAAGAGGGTGCCAGTGAGGCCCATCACAGGAACCTGGCTGGTGGTAATGTTGTCGTCTGCCATAGGGCTCGACATGGAGGAAGGCAGGGCAGGAGGAACATGGCTGGGCATCAGCACGCGTGGGAAGCTGGGGGCGCTCACCAACTACCTGCAGCCCCGGCAAGAGCCAGACACCCGTGGGAGAGGTATGGGGTCTGTGGGCTCGGGTGGGACCTGGGGAGGGCAAGGCACATTGGGGTGGAGCTAGGTAAGACTGGCAGGGCAATGGAAGTGAACAGGTCCTGGTACAGTGGGGAAGGAGTAAAGAAGAGGGCACCTTGCTAGGGCTTCTGCTCGTGAGCCCCACATCCTCCATGTGCCTGTCACAGCAGTGACAGGAAGAAGAGCTGGAGGGAAGAGCTGGCCAAATGTTGCCAATATGATTATACCAGGCAGTGTCCTTCAGGCTTATGACTCCCTGACCCTGGCCGTTGAGTTTCATCTTTTATTTATTTCTTTTATTTTTATTTTTTAATTATTATTGTTATTTTATTTGTTTGTTTGTCTATTTATTTATTTATTTATGTTTTTCTAGTCAGGGTTTTTCTGTATGTAGCCTTGGCTTTCCTGGAACTCACTTTATAGACCAAGCTGGCCTTGAATTCAAAGAGCTCCACCTGTCTCTGCCTCCCAAGTGCTAGGATAAAAAACATGCATCCCATGCTCAGCATTTCTTTTATTTTCGAAAGAGATTGATTTATTTATGTTTATGAGTACATGTATTCCTGCACGCCAAGAGAGGGCAGTGGATCTCATTATAGATGATTGTGAGATGCTATGTGGGTGAGTTGAACTTAGGACCTCTGGAAAAGCAGCTAGTGCTCTTAAGCACTAAACCATCTCTCTAGCCCCGAGTTTCATCTTTCCTTTTTTATTATTATTATTATTTTTTTTTTCAAGACAGGGTTGCTCTATGTAGCCTTGGCTGTCTTGGACTCACTTTGTAGATCAGGCTGTCTTTGAACTCACAGAAATCCAGGTGCTGGAGTCTCAGTGGAACCCCTCTTCCTACGTCCTCCCCGGAGACCCTATCTCAGTCTTTCCCGGGGCAGCAATTCATGTCTGCTGCCTTGGCTGTTGATGTTTTCCCTGCCCGCAGGTGAACTGGTGTCTCACTTTCTGACCAGTGACATGGACAGCCTGTCCTACCTGAAGAAGGTCTCTACAGAGGGCCACCTGTACAATGGCTTCAACCTCATAGCAGCTGACCTGAGGTGGGTTTGCCTTGGAGACTCGGGCTTTAGCACTTCTCTATACAGGCCCCACCCCAGTCAGCTTGGTACCTTCCCCAGGACTTCCCTGGATGGGTGTTTGGCCAGCATCTGATGGTTGGGCCTGTCTCAGATTCACTACCTGAGAACAGGAAGTAAAGCTCAGGGATACTTGAGATGGCATGAAGGCCGCAGGCTCCCTACAGTGAGAGAACTGGGAGCTGGCAGTGCTCAGATTGAAGAGCCTCTGTCTTGGGGTGACTCCAGCTGGGCATCCGTCTCCTCCTCTGGGATGCTTCATAACAGCTGGCATCAGTCTGTCTTGACCAGGTACTTGAGCTTCCAGGTGGTTCTCATCTTGGCGATTGCTTGGCCTTTCAGGGAGTTAAATATCCTTTAATTCTCTTTTCTCCCTGATGTCAGTGAATGCTGTTAGCTGGGGTCTTCCTCCTGAGGTACGCTGCTGTCAGCCTATGTCCAGATGCCTGTTCTGTGCTGCCTCCTTCTGCAGGAGCAGGTCCGTAGGTGAGCCCTAGGCCCAGCATGTCTTGAACATCCATTGTGTAGGGTGTGCCCTGTGTCATTTCTGAACTACAGTGAGCACACTGACTTAATTTGGAAGCTGAGTGAAGTGCAGTAGTCGCAGGAAGAAGGCCCAGAGTAGAAGGGCATGCTTCCATCCTCCCTTCTCCCTTCGGGGGCTCCTGAGGCCATAAGCCTATGCTCCCTCTCCTCTTCAAACATGGAGCTGTGTGTGCATTTTCAGTAGTAGTTCCATGTGTGTTTGATCCAGTCCCAGGAGACTGGAGCCATGGCTACAGTGCATGAAGGAATGGTTATTCAGTGGCTATGTCAAATGCTGGAAACAAGGCTGTTGTTCTCTGAGCAGATACACAGTGGCTCCTGCAGCTGGGCCTCTGGAAATCTGAGTAGCCTTCCTTGCTATAGACCCTGCAGGGTCAGAGGACAGCTAAAGAGCCATCCCACAAGTCAGACTCCTGATGCCACAGCTGATGCTGCAGGGCAACAGTTGGGTACTGATAAACCAAGGTTTAAGCTAGGCGTGACATTGCACACCTTTAATCCCAGCACTTGAGAGGCAGAAACAGGCAGATCTCAATGGGTTCAAGGCCAGTTGGTCTACATGAAGAGTTGCAGAGCAGCTAGGACTATATAGTGAGACCCTGTCTCAAAACATGCAACCAAGGCTGGAGACTGAGGCTGGACAGAGGGTGCATTGGCTAAGAGTGCATACAGCTTTTGAAGAAGACTGGAGTTCAGTTTCGGCATCCATGTCAAATGGCTCCTGAAACTCTAGCTTCAGGGGGTCCTATGTCTCTGGCCTCTATAGGCACCCATACACACACAATCAGAAGTAACACAAATCTTTAAAAACAACAAAAAGAAACCAAGACCTATAATGGAGAAAGATTTGTCCTGGACACAGCTGCCCTTTCCTTTGTCTGGTCCATGGCAATGGTGACAGAGACCCTCACATAGGAACTCGGTTCCATGGGTCCTTACACACCTGCACACACATCTTACACAAAACAGCCTGCACCCCACCTCCAACCAACAAAATCTTCAAAATTTATTATCTAAACATCTTAAGAAAGTTGCAAGGGCTGGGGTGAGGAAGAATGTGAAAGGGATATGAACCCAGACTAGGGCTGGGGGCAAGTCATGCGTGATGCTCGTGTGGAACCAGAGGAGTCATCTCAGTAACCACCCCTGTTTGTATGTCCATTTGGAACGTATTTCAGAATCAATTCTGAGGTCTAACTTAAAGGCTCACTATGGCATGGAGGAGCGGGGGCATTTTCAGCAGGTAGAGCCTTGTAAATAGTTGTAAAATGTTAAAGTAGTAGAATATAGTCTTTGCTACTTTGCTCAAGGGCCTATTCTGAGGCTACGTGTCACAGCACTTAAAGATTACCATATGGGTGGCAGCCGTGACCCTCCAGATGGGCTGAGGTGAGGTGCAGCTGTCACAGCATGCCCATGCCGTGGGACATTTAGAGAAGTATGGGGAATTTCACATTCTGCTGGCTCCAGTAGTGAGCCAGGAATGTACCTGTAAGGCTGGACAGGGCCTTGTGTCTCTGCACCAGCTTTCCAGGCCCCTAGTGGGCTGAATGGTCCATTGTCTTTGTCGCCAGGCCAGGCTAGAGACAGGGCCATGAGATCACTAGGCAGTGCTGGGAACTGCTATCTAGGGGCTGCTGGTGTCTGCTATCTGACCTTCTCTGGCTTTTGGCTTCCATTCACAGCACAGCAAAAGGAGACGTCGTTTGCTACTATGGGAACCGGGGGGAGCCTGAGCCTATTGTCTTGGCACCAGGTGAGCCTGCTTTGGTGTCCAGACAGACAGGGTGGGGGCTGCCTCCTGTGTTGGGAATACTGTGTGCCAAGACTAAGCAGGACCCCCAGACAACAGCATGAATGGGGTCCCACACAACACAGGGTGAACTAACCTGGGGTCAGCTGCTTTCTCCTTCATTCACAGCCTGAGGGTAATCCTTGCTGGTGACATCTTGGGTCTGTGGGCCTTGGACACTGACTTTGGTCCCATATCAAGCATTCCTTCCCCTAGGGTAAGAGTCAGTGTCCTCAACAACAGCTATATCCCACCTCTGTGTGATAGTTTTCCTTCATACTACAATTTCTGCATCCCCAAGTCATGAAGTTTTTCCTAGGCAGTTGGCACAGGCCACTAAGTTATGTTGAGGGCACATGTCACTGCCTCCTACTGGGGATCAGTAGTAGGCCCAAGATGTGTACCAGGTGGAGCTCAAGGGAAGTGGGAGCCCCCAGGATAGCTGAATAGCTCTATCCTGCCTGTGCTATTGGGGGTAATAGTGCTAATAGTCCTGGGTTGCTTCACACCAGAATTTCTAATACTGGGTTTGAACCCCAGAATAGGTAGCCCACACCAAAGCATGGTTTCTAGTCCATTCTACTGGCTCTCTTACACATTCCTCACATAGGGCTCTCTGCAAGCTCTGGGCACCCTAGCCATGGCACCCTCACTGCCCTTGGTGGTGTATATCCTGTCCTTCCTGTGCAAGCCCCAGGACAGGCCCAAGAAGCCCCAGTAGCACTCCCAAGAAGCAGTCGATGCCTGACTTGGGTTCATTTGGGTTCATCTTCAGCCAGGTCTTGCCTCTCTATTTTTCTCAGAGCCCCTTTGTTTCAGCTTCTTGGGGTCTGCAGATCCATTGAATGGGGCTTTGTATCCCAGGAGCCCTTCTCATACCAGCCCAATCTCAAGTGGGAGAGCAGTGGGAGAGCCCAATCTCAATCTGGGAGAGCAGTTGGAAGCCAAGGGATGAGGCCTACTGTTCTCAGAGCTGAAGACTCCCTGATTGGAGCTTATTTTCTGCTCAGTCTTTTATAGTAGAATTTCTTTCCATCTATCTCATGATTTAGTCCCAAGCTTGCCCCTACTTGAGCTATATCCACTTCCCTTCTTTCTGGTGTTGGGAACTGAACTGAGGCAGTCACACCTACTAAACACCCTCTTAGCAAACACTCAGCCCCCTGCCTTTAAGCAGGCAAATTGTCCTGAGTTTAAATCCAGCAATGACTACATAGTGAATGTCAAGCTACCCTGGACTACAGAATGGGCCCCTGTCTCAAAAAAAACAAAAAAAACAAAAAAACAAAAAAACTTCCATTGAAATGTGACTCTCACATTACTGTGCACATAAAATCTGTCACACAGCCAGCTCTGGTGGCACAAGCCTAAAATCCCAGCACTAGTGAGGCAAAGGCAAAAAGACAATCAATCATAATTTCATGTCCAGCTGATCTAGAATAAGTTCAAAGCCAGCCAAGGCTCCATGACAAGCTTTTCTTAGGAAGGAAGGAAGGAAGGAAGGAAGGAAGGAAGGAAGGAAGGAAGGAAGGAAGGAAGGAAGGAAGGAAGGAAGGGAGGAAGTTAGTTCTATACAGGTTGGGGGTGTGAGGCAGGAGGAATTGTCAGGAGGGTGAGGCAGAGGAATTATCCTTTGAGGTCAGTCTGGGCTCCATTTACAATCAAATGTGAAGCTGGATGTAGTGGTGCATACCTTTCAATCTCAGCACTCAGGAGGCAGAGGCTAGCGATTCTCTGAGTTCAAGGCCAACCTGGTTTATACAGCGAGTTTCAGGCCAGCCAAGGTTATGTACTAAGACCCTATCTCAATAAACCAAAAAAATCAATGAAATAAAAAAACAAATGGTGACTTGGGCTTGGTGTGCACACCTTTAATCTCAGCATTCAGGAGGCAGAGGCAGGTGATTTCTGTGAGTTTAAGGCCAGCCTGGTTAATGTAGGGAGCTCCAGGTAATTTCAGAATTTGTCACCCACCAAGAACAAAACAAAACAAAACACCAACAACTAAAACCCAGAATCATCTGCCCTTGCTCCTGCTTATCCACTGTCTCTCAGGATTATACATTCTGGACATTTTGTTCAGATGAACCAGCCATGTAGTGAAGGAAGCTGACTTCTAATTTGGCTCACTTATCTTGATGTTTTTAAGTGCCTTTTTCCCTGAGCCGTCTCACTGGCCCAGAACATCTCCTTCCACTTAAGCCTTTTGAGGAACTTCCACTGGTTTGCCAAAGCACCTGCACCATTTTACGTTTCTGCCAGTGGTTTATAAAGGTTCCTCTTTTCCAAGGTCTCACCAGGAGTTAGTGTTCTCTGTCTTTAGAAGGAGAGGGTTCTAGAGATGGAACCCAGGCCCTGAAACATGCTGAGCACATACTGTGGCACTGAGACACACCCCAGCCTGTCTCCCCATGCCCAGCCTGAGGTGCTGGTAAATCAGACCCAACGCCTCTGGCATACTAGGCAAAGCTCTTTACCTTTGACATCATTACCCCCACCCCTTTCTTTTTTTTGGGGGAGTGGGGTGGGCAGGGGGCTTATGTATCCAGGCTAGCCAGACTCAAACTCAGTGTATATCCAAGGATATATACTGCCACCTTCTGAGTGCTGAATTACAGGTGTGGTCTGACCATTTGAAAATTTTGGTTTTTTTGTCTTGCAGAAGTTCTTTCTTTAATCTACAAATATCATGAGATATCTAACTTTCAAAACTCCTTTCCCACATTTTGTGTTTTATTTAACTTCTCTGACACTTTTTTTAAAATGCATAACTTTAAATTTACATGAGGTCCCATTTATCTCGTTGCTATGCTTTTGTTGACTTACCTAATAAATCATTGCTTGATATAAGGTTATGAAGCTTTTTCTTTTAAAAATGTGTTTACTCTCTCTGGTGTGTGTGTGTGTGTGTGTGTGTGTGTGTGTGTGTGTGCATGCGTGCTGCCTGAGCTTTGGGACACACTCTCACTCTAGCCCAGGCTGACCTGACCTGAATCTTGCTATGTAGGCTAGCCTCAAACCTGCCACAATCCTACCTCAGCCTCCTGAGAATCTGGGACTGTAGATACATGCCGCCACACTTGATCCTAAAGCTGTTCCTTTTTGTTTTGGTTTGGTTTTAGGAGACAGCGTTTCATGTAAACAAACTTGCCTCAAACATTGTGCATATGTGTATATGTGTGCCTGCATGCTCATGACTCAGCTTGCATGTAGAGGTCAGAGGACAACTTGCAGGTGTCAGTTCTCTCCTTCCACCATGTAGACACAGAGCTTGACAAACTCAGGTCATCAGGCTTGGTGGCAGGCGCCTTTACCCACTGAGCCATCTTGCTGGCCTTAATTTTTGTACTGGGTGTGAGATCAGGTCCAATTCCATTCTTTGTGAATGGCCCAGCTCCATTACAGAATGATCTTCCACACTACTTCAACAAGAAAGAAAACAGTGACATTTGGACTGACAGCTTGGCCTTGGGGGCTCCAGCAGAGCCAGAGTGGTGTTCCAGGGATTCAGCTGGACCCACATCAGATTAGGCTTCCCCTGGTGTCTTGTTTGGATGCTTGGCTGGAAGCCATCTGCCCCAGCTACCTGGGGCCTCTGCATGGCCAGGCTGACCTTCTTCCTACAGGAACCTATGGGCTAAGCAATGCCCTGTTGGAGACGCCCTGGAAGAAGCTGTGCTTTGGCAAGCAACTCTTCATGGAAGTGGTGGAACAGAGCGAGGCACTCCCTAAGGACACCCTCGTCACCCATCTCCTAGATGTACTCAACAATGAGGAGGCGTAAGTGAACGCGTCCAGTGGGGCAGCCACACAGGTCTAGTGCAGGGAGGAAGGCAGGCTCTACTACATTTAAGGTTTGCGAAGATGAGCAGGTTGGCTCCCAGCTACAGGAGAGCCTGCCTGACATATTCCTCTGTCTCCTTAAGACTCAGGCTTATTCCTCTTGGGGATGCAGTCAGGGTTTCCAGTAGGGCCCTGGAAAATGAGAGGTAGTGCAGACAGTGCTCTATGCTCTGAGAAACTTGGTGTTTTCTGAAGTCTGGCCTCCTACAAGGAGAGCTAGTGTGATATTCTAGAAGGTTCTAGCTGTTCAACAAATCTTAGGGAGAAGAGCCAGAAAAATACAGAAGCCAATGAGAGCAGGCCTAGGGTTTGACATTGTTTGCTATCCCCTATCTCCAGAAACCTTGGAGCTAAGCATTAGGCATAGATACACCCGTCCCTGGAAGGAACAGACCCTCCCACATACATACACACCTTCCTCCATGCCCATGGACCTCTTCATGGGGTACACTTAGACTCTGGGCCCTTGGCTTCAGCCATCCCAGCCAAGAATCCTGGTGTCCACCATGCTGGCATATATTCTTTCATGATCCCATGCATCTTCCCATTCTCATCTAAGCTTGGCCACTTTCTGCACAGATGACCTAGTATCCTTCCACATTTCTCACCTTGCAGTCTCTTAGAGCAGCCTCTTCCCCACCCCATTCTGTCATCCTTCACAGGGTGAGTTGCCCTGACCCCTGCCTAGTCTCTCTTTTCTGTTGGCCTTGAGCCATAGCATCATTCTCCAGCCTTAGCATCAGCTGCTCTCTTGGGGGTGTTGTGCTGGGCTTTGCTCAGCAAGTGATGGTCCTCAGTCACTTGGACAGGCCAATTGCAGCTCTGGATGTTCTTACTGATAACCCTAGTCATGGTACAAGTTGTGCTGGTTGGTGAGTCTCAGGGTTTAAAGGGGCTCTCGTATATGAACTGATGCCCACAGGGTACCACTAAGACAATAGAGAGTGCATATGCCATTTGGATGCCTAGGCTTAGTGATGGTGTCATAAGTGATGGAGTGGAAGGATGACAAAGTAGAAGGAGCCAAGTAGAACACTTATAAGTAAGCCTCCTTGGGAATCTCAGGCTGCTAGCATTACGAATGGGGTTCCCTGTGTACAGGCAATAAGGAACTAACAGCTTCTCTGACCTTCTATCCTTCTAGACAGCTGCCAGACCCAGCCATTGAGGACCAGGGCCGGGAGTATGTACAGCCAATACTGAGCAAGTATGCAGCTGTGTGTGTCCGCTGCGCCACCTATGGCACCAGGTGATCGGAGTTGGAACTACTGGGCACATTCACTTTGGGTGTCCCTGACCATGACTAGGTACCTCCCCTGACTCAGTGTATTCCAGAATCTGTCTTTAGATTTATCTGCAGGTTGAGTAGATTCCATAGGTAATGTGTCCATGCATACACAGGACCAAGTGGTCAGAACTCCTGAAATGCCACTGTGTCCTAGGTGGGGCTCCTGGCTGCCTTGCCTGTTTAAAGATGAGCTAGGCACAGTGGTACACGTCTGTAATCCTAGCACTCAGTTGGCAGAGGCAGGCGGATCTCTGTGAGTTGGAGGCCAGCCTGGTCTACAAAGCAAGCCCAGAACAGCCACGGCTACACAGAGAAACCCTGTCTCAAATAAAACCAAAGGAAGGAAGGAAGGAAGAGAAAGAAAGAAAGAAAGAAAGAAAGAAAGAAAGAAAGAAAGAAAGAAAGAAAGAAAGAAGAAAGAAAGAAAAGAAAGAAGAAAGAAAGAAAGGAAAGAAAGAAAGGAAAGAAAGAAAGAAGCCAGAGATGACATTTGGAATGTTCCTACTGTCAAGTGTTGGTTATGCTCTGGTACAGATTCTCTAAAGCCTGTGATTTACATGCTGGATGGCAGCTATCAGCTGGTCTTTCCTATGTGTGCCCACCCTTCTGAAAGGCAGGAGCTCACACATGAGAACCTACCATAGGGTGGGCTAGAAAAAAAAGAAAGAAAATTAGCCAGCTGACTTAGCCTGGGCCAGTGGAGGAAGAAGATAAGAAACGAGTTTTCTAGCTAAGCAGATCATGTGCCCAAGTAGTTAGAACTTAACTTCTTGTTCTTGAGTGCAAAACATGGCCAGGTGTCTGGGGGCCTGGTTTACTGCCAGTGGGTCAGTGCTGGGGCCACCCTGTGAGGAATGTGGTGGTATATATATATATTTTTTTTTTGTTTGTTTGTTTGTTTTTGTTTGAGACAGGGTTTCTCTGTGTAGCCCTGGCAGTCCTGCTTGATCTGTAGACCAAGCTGGCTTCCAACTTAGAGATTCACTTGCCTCTGCTTCCTGAGTGCTGGGGTTAAAGCTGGGTGCTTCCACCACCTGGCCTGTGAATTGGTTCTTGCTATAGAAAAAGGTCAGACCAAGCTGGGTTGTTTTAAGCAATGGTAACAGGACTCACTGAGTGCGAGGCTGGCCAGAGAGCCCAAATGCCTCTGGTGAGCTCCCTCATGTCCTCAAAGTTGAGGCTATTATTTTAGTAACCCACCTGAAGGCAGATCTGAGTAGCTAGCTCAGGCCCTGGCTGTGATGGTTATGCCTCCGGGCCTCAAGCCTGGTCCCAGCTGTGGCTCTGAAAGGTGGGGCTGGGACTAAAGGATGCTTTCTTTCAGAACCAACACCATCATCCTTGTGGATGCAGATGGCCACGTGACCTTCACAGAACGAAGCATGCTGGACAAAGATACCTCCCGCTGGGAGACCAACACCTATGAGTTCACTCTACAGAGTTAGCCACTGCTAACTCTGCTAGATTCCTAGGATGCTGTGCCTCAAGGGCCAGGCATAGACTGGAACCTTCTATGGCCACACTTGCACGTCTGGGACTCCGCCAGTATCCCTAGGACCAGGACCTTCTGATCTGTGTGTTACCCATACTCAGCTCAGGGTTTGTCTTTGTGCCAGTGAAGAATGACTAAGTTGAACACTAGATCTGAGGCCTAGGTGAATGCATGGCCACTGCTGCCATGTACACACACGTGTGTCTGACTGACTAGCAGAGTTGTGCCTCTCACTTCTCATCTTTGGCCAGTGGGTCTCCTCCCTGGACTGGTAACAAAAGTAGGCTTTTTATAGAAACTGGCCTTTCCTCTCCTGACTGCAGAGCACAACTGTGTCTCAGTTCTTCATAGTCAGACATCCCCCTGCAGGAGCACTGGCCGTGTTAGAAACTGAGTGAATCAGGCACAAGAGAAGCCCACTCTGATAGAAATGAAGTCTCATTGGAGATCTTGTAGTTCTGTATGTGTTAGGGGATCCCATGTGTGTTCACTGGTTCTGCATGAATGAGAACCCTGTGTGCATTGGTCAGTCCTGTTGTGTGGATCCTGGGATCTCTTGAACTCCTGCTTGCCCAGCAGGCATTGTGGGTTCTGAGCAGGACTGTCTCAATAAGTGGCTCAGCCAGCCCCTGCCATCGCCCTCATCACAAGCCGGACTCCATAGGAATGTGAACATGAATGTCCACTGTTGATAATAAAACTTGGAGGCTGTGATGAGTAAGGCTGTTTCAGAGTTCTTCCTTTGTTTGGTGGCAACAGTCAGAACTGGAACTGTCATGGTGGGTCAGATGCCCACTGGAGGATCTTTCTTTTTTACATACCTTCTGGAGCACTGATGGACACTTGCAGGTCTATCTGTATGCCCGTCTGTCCTTAGGGTAGCCAGGGTGTAAGAGAATGTATTTGTGACTACAGGGTGAGATGCCACCAGGGATTCACCAGATAGAGTCCCTATGATCCTTTTTGGTTTATAAGGAGTCCCCACAAGAAGAGATAGCTAGAGAATGGTGGGGATGGGTGAGTGTGGGGCGGGTGTTCTTAGCCCTGGGCCTTGGGAACCATGCTCCTCCACCCTGCCAGCTAGAAGCCCCATAGCTCAGGCTCCCTTGTAGCTCGCAGCCACCTTTGTGGCATTTCAGAGTAGTGAGCCCAGGGTGGACGTGAACGGAGCGTCCTAGGCTGAATGTGATGAGTTGCTGGTTCCTCTAGAGAAGAACACGAGCCTGTCTTTACCATTCCTGTCTCTGCCACCCTTCTCTGGGTCCAAGAGAAATACTAGGGTTCAAACTAAGGTTGAAGTGGGTAACAAAGCACGTCACCCCGGCCTAAAAAGAAGCAGGTCCTGAGTGTCACACTGGCTCAACCCCCTCAGGTTGTAGCTCCTGCACTCTTGTTCTATAATAGTGTCCACTTTCAGGAGAACCCCTCGGATGTCTAGTCTACCTCTGTGCTACTGGGTAGCCGGTGAAAGCCTTCCAAATCCTGATCATAGAGCCCTCTGACCAAGTCTGCCTGGGGCTTCTCAGTGGCCTCCTGTGGAAGGAGTTGCCCCAAAATATAGCTTGTATTATGGTCTAAGTTACATTTTCCCTAAAAGGAAATCCTTATCCCAGTCTCTCAGAGACTTTCTGGAGACTGTCTTTGCAGAGGCAATGACAATAACATGGAGTTGTTCTTCCACATCCCAAGGGAGTGTGACTTTTTTTTTTTTCTTTTTCAGACCAGATTTCTTTGTGTAGCCCTGGTTGTCCTGGAACTCACTGTGTAGACCAGGCTGGCTTTGAACTCAGAGATCTGCCTGCCTCTGCCTCCTGAGTGCTGAGATTAAAGGCGTGTGCCACCACTGTTCAGCTGTGACTTATATAAAAGGGATAGCAATACAGACACATGCACAGTGCATACATGCTGGAGTTCTGCACCAGGAAAGTTGCACCTGGAACTTGCACAGGGAGCACAGCCTTGCTGCCACCTCCATCCAGACAACCAGCCTCCAAAGCTCTAAAAGAAGTGTCTGCAATACCAATGGGCATCTAGCTCAGTGCTTGTCTAGCAGCCCTGACACTCCAAATTCAGTCCTCAGCCATCGCCCCAAATAAACAAGCTGAATGTAGTGATGTATGCCTGTGATCCCAGCACTCCAGAGACTGAGGCAGGGAGGATACACATCTTTAATCCCATCACTGGGAAAGCAGAGTTTGAGTCCAGCCTTGTCTATAGAATAAGTTCCAGGACATCCAAGGCTACACATTGAAACCCTGTCTCGAAAAACCAAAAAAAAAAAAAAAAAAAAAAAAATGGAGATCAGCCTGGACTACTTAGTGAGATCCTGTCTCATAAAACGAAAACCCTACTCAAAACCAAACCTTGAATAAATATTCTTCTGAATAAGGTATTCATTACCACTGTGTTTGCTGTGAGAGCAAACAGCTTTGTCTGTAAAGAACTTGGCTTGGAAAGCGCTTTATGGTTCCTTGGTTGCCACACAGGTGAGGAAGCAGGGACATGAAGCCAGGAGAGAGGCAAGGCAGTGCCTCCAAGGGTACCCAAGGCTGCAAGCCTCACCTGTCCATGCAGGTCTCACGTGCCCAGCACCCTGCCTTCAGCTCAGGCCCCAGGTTCCTCCCACTGCTCACAGACATAGTTCATGAACTGGGACTTTTATATCCACTGTCCCTGCCCGAAGCACTCTTCCCTCAGGTACCCAAACCGTACCCTTCCTCTCTCCCTGCACTGCTATCTTTGATGCTAGTGTGTATATGCATACAGAAGTCAGGCATTCTCCAAATGCCCTCTTCCCCCACTGGCCTGGAAATTGACAAGTAAGCTAGGTTTGCTGGCCAGTGAAACTCCAGGGATTCAGCCCTCTGCCTGAGGACTGGAATTACAAACACATGCCACTCTCCATCCAGTTTTTTTTTTTTTTTTTTTTTCCCCACAAGGGTTCTGAGAACTAAGCTCAGGTCCCCATGCATGCAAGCTAAGCAAAGCCCCCTTTTACTAATCATGTCTTGGGCAGACACCTGCTTAAAGTTGAAATCTCTGTATAAGTGAGAAGGCTCAGGGGGTAGAAGTCCTTGTTGACAACTCTAGTTCAGTCCCTGAAATCCACAGGAGAGAATCAGCTAAGTTGTTTCCTGTCCTATGCATGAGTGGCACACATACCTTGCAGTCACAGAGATCACACACACAAACACACACACAGAGACAGAGAGACAGAGGGTTGGCCTGATGTGGTGGCAGCACAGGTCTTTAACAACAGCACTCAGAAGGCAGAAACATTAGAATGTCTTGAGTTCGAGGCCAGCCTGGTCTACATAGCAAGTTCCAGGACAACCAAAGCTACACAGAAAGACCCTGTCTCAAAAGCAAAAAGACCAAAACAAAACACCCAAAAAACAAAACCCTGAACCCTCTGACTAGGAATGCAGTTCTGTGGTATAATGCTCCTTGTCTTCACCTTTCATTTCCTGTTTTGGAAAAATCCTTTACTTTAGTACAGAATCTTGTTTTACCAATGGAAAGTCTTTCTGTAATATCAGCAGCCAAAGCCATATGGTGTCACCTCGATAAAAGAAAAACAAAAATCATGAGACAAAGCAACATACAAACAGATGTATCAACTTAGAGTAGAATCCAAATTATATTTATGACAGGTAACACTTTCAAATGACCTCTAAACAGTGTTAAACTACAAGGCTGATGTAGGCAGACTTGACATCTGCTGGGATTGTTTTTTGTTTTTAAGGTGGGGTCTCATTATTCAACCTGGCTGGCCTGGAACTTATAGAGGCCCACCTGTTTCTGCCTTCTAAAATGTTGGGTAAGTGTGCACCACCATGCCTGGCTGCTGCTTGGATTTTTTTTTTTTTAAGGTTTCATCTTTGGGGTTTAGGGGGAATCCCTGAGATGGCTTGGTTTTTATGGGATCATTTAGAGATTTAGAGATTCACCAGTTTGACAATTAATAAATTTTAACAAAGAAGCTTTTATTCAGATACTGGCACTAGGTCTACTATACTCAGGACTCAGGACTCCTGAATGCAGCACACAGCCACCTCAGTCAGGGACTTATAAAGGCAAAAAAACACAAAGGGACTTCTCTGCTTGCAAACAGCTTGTTTACAGAAGCTGGAATGGCAGAAAACAAACAAACAAACAAAAATCCCTAGCAGCCTTTAACATTTGGAGGCCCAGTTTTGTTCTTCAGTTCCCTTAAGCACAGAGATTGAAAACTTTTAAATGTAAGCTTAACCACCAACATAATGGGCAAGGTGCCTGTTGCCTGATCACCTAAGTCAGGCTCTGGGACCCACATGGTGGAAAAGAGAACCAACTCGATAAAGTTGTCTTCTGACTTGGATTACTCACACACCACCACCGCCACAACCACTAGCCACAACGACGACAAGACTTTTTTTGGGCTGACTAGATGGTTCAGCAGGTAAGGGCACCTGCTGCCAAGGGTAACTACTTGAGATGAATTCCAGAACCCACATGGCAGAAACAGGGAACGGATTCCACAAAATTGTCTTCTGGCCTCCACATGTATGCCAAGGGACACAGGCACCCGAAAATATACAGAAGCATACAAAAATAAATGTAAAAAAAAAAAAAAAAGCCCTTTTCAGAATGTTACATTTTAATAAGAGCTGGCTAAGATAGCAAATGGCCTTGGGCAATTTTCTATCTTCGTAGGAAAAAGCAGGAAAGAAAATACACATATGTTGGCCCTGTAACTGTAGTCTTTTTTTTTTTTTAAGATTTATTTATTTATTATTTATACAGCATTCTGCCTGCATGTGTGCCTGCTCACCAGAAGAGGTGAGCCAGATCTCCCTATAGATGGTTGTAAGCCACCATGTGGTTGCTGGGAATAGAACTCTGGACCTTTGGAAGAGAAGCCAGTGCTCTTAACCTCTAAGCCATTTCTCCAGCCCTGTAACTGTAGTCTTGTAGTCCCCTGAAGAACTGGGAAAGCTATTAAATAGTTACTTTTTCTGGAGGTCCTACAGAAGACTTATCCAGCAGTGCATGCTGTACATGAGTCCCAGGACCAATGATGGTAAGCTCCAGCCAGAACATTTATTTATTTTTAAAATAGCATTGTGTCAGGCAGCGGCACTGGAGAGATGGCTCAGCAGCTAAGAGAACTAACTACTCTTCCAGGGGACCTGGGTTCAATTCCCAACATCTACACGGTGGCTCACAGCCGTCTACAACTCCAATTATAAATGGTTCCAACACCCTCTTCTGGCCTCCATAGGCACCAGGCATGCACATAGTACATAGACATACACACAAGCAAAACATCCATATGCATAACAATAAAAAATGAAAAAATAAAAACACAATGAACCAGAGAGAGATGGCTCAGCAATTAAGAACATTTGTTGCTTTTGCAGAGGATCCAGGTTTGGTCTCCAGCACCTATATGGTGGTTTACTCACTGCCGTAACTCCAGTTTCAGGAAATCACTGCATTCTACTCATCCTCACAGGTACTAGGCAAGCACCTGGTGCTCGTAGATACATGTAGGTGAAATGCTGAAACAAAAACAAAACAACAACAACAACAAAAAAAACACCTTAAAAACTTAAAAGGCTGGAGAAATAGATAGGTAGTTGAAAGCACCAACTAGCTGCTCTTCCAGAGGACCCAGGTTCAGTTCCCAGCACCTGCATAGCAGTTCACATCTGTAACTCTAGTTCAAGGGGATCTGGT